ACTGGGAAGAAGCAGAAGTTTGAGTCATATTCTTGGTTAGATATTTAGATTTTAAATAAACATCTATTTTATAGTATATGTTAAAAGTATAACGTTTTAATAATAAGATTAGATTTTGATAAGGATACATTTGTTTTAGTTGAAACATTGAGTTATTTCTAATGACAATAAAACTTATCTATGAATAATGTTTTAGCTGAAAATTTGATCATTTAATTTCTAAGCGATTCTAATTTTCGTTAGAAATAAATCGAGATGAAATGTTCATAAATCGATAGATAAAGATTAAAAGAATAATGTCAAACAGACTTTTATTCTACTAATCAAGGCTAATCGAATTCCGATAGTCTCAAACAAAAATCTATTCAACAGTTGAAAATATATTTTCGTGAGATAAAAAACAAAATTTTTTAATGATAAACTTACCATTTCTTCTAATATCTTGACCTAAATAACAGGAAATAAATTCAACTAAATTATAATTTTGATAAAAACAACAAAAATTATTATTAATATTTAGAGTTGGACCACGTTCACCAAGTACAATTGCTTGATAAAATCCTGCTGCTAAACCACGACCATCACCTTAATAAAAAATAAAAGAATTAATTTTTTTTTTTTTGTTTTTTGCATAATATTTTACCAAGATCATCTAATCTTTGATTTTTTGGATATGATTGATTTTTAATAGTAATCATTTCAGCTCTTTGTGTTTGTTTAAATAAAGTTTCTAAAATTCTAACAGGATCATGAGGACGAATATGAATTTTTCGTTGAATAAAATCAAATATTGTTTTTAAATCATAAGTTTTAACAAGATTAATAAGTAAAAAGCGAAAACGATTTGTTCGACCTGTTTTTTTATGAACAATTTCACATTCATATTCTTTTTTCAAAATTAAAGTTAAATTTTGTGTTGAATATAAATTTTTTCCTTGATCATACCAAATAAGTGGAAATTGTTCTCGTTCAATAATTTTTTTCATAACTTGAAAACGTTCATCTTTTTTCGATGAACGCCATGAACCATCACGCATTAAGATTTCAACATCAACATCAAATTGATAAAGTGTTACTCCTTCATTTATATTTAGAAATTCAATTTTAAAATGATTTGTATAAACCTCAACTCGTTGACCAACTAAAACAATTAATTAAACAAAACAAAACAAAATAAAATCTTATTATTTTTATTTTTTATTTTTATCAATATTTTACCACGTCCAGATTGTGCTGGTCGTCGTGCAAGTGATATTAATTGTGAATCTGGCACAGCAGAACGTAATGGTGGACGAACAAATGAACGTGAACGTTTTTTTGTATCACTTTCTGTATCTGATGAAGTCTTTGGTACGGTAGAAGTTGAAATAGATTCAGTAAATCTACTTGATTGGATAGAAGATGTTGAAGGTTTTTCTTCAACTCCAGTTGATGAATATGATCGACGTTGAGAAGATTCAGATGAACTTTCATCTCCACGACTTGGACGGTCTAATATATTATATTTAAATAATAACAATAACAATAATTTTTTATTTTTATTTTATTTTATCAAAACAAAAACAAAAACAAAAACAAAAACAAAAATAAAAGAATACATACAACGTTTAGATGATCGACGCTCTTTATCATCATCTAAACAAACAAATTTGTTTTTGAAAAAAACAAAATTAAAATATACCATCAGGACGATCTCGACTTCTCTGTGATGCCATTTATTTATTAATTATTCTTATATTAATATTAAATTAGATTTTATTAACTAAATTAAAATAAAAAAAATCAATTTATTTTTAAATATTATTCAACAAAATAACATCTCTTTCATTAATATAAATCTATATATTATCTTAACTATATTTATGACTTTTTTTTTTATTAATTAATATCTTTATTTTATTAAAAATTAAGAAAAAACTAAACGAAACTTTTCAAAAATAACATATTGTGTATATACATATATAGACAATCAATAATATTTATTTCTTATATAAATTAATTTAATCATTTTCTTTCTTTCATACTTTTCATTTATGTTTTAACTGATATTTGAAATAAAACATTCATATTTTGATCTTTCATATTTAATTCTAAAATTAATATAAATTTCTCTTTTCTATTTAGCAAATCCTTAAAGAATAAAAATAAAACTTAAATATAATATTTATCGTTTGATGTTAGTTTCAATCAACTTAAAGATTGATCTTAAAAAAATATTTCACAAACGACGGCAATTGACAACAACCAATTTTGATCACTTTTTATTTTCAACGTTATTTATAATTAAATTGTATATAGAATAAAATATC